ATCGCTTAATTATATATATATTTCTACGCATATATATATAAATTTATAAACCTAAACTTATACGACCAAAGATGACATTTCGGACTTTCACCAGAATAACATGATGTACTATTCCTAATTCGAATTACACAAGACGCGCCAAAGCAAAAAATATAATTATATAATATATATATATATATATATATATATATGTATATATATATATATTTAGTTCATTCGCAAGGTAAAATTCTTGTGTTTCAATTAATTTTATTTATACTTGCAAATAACCTTATCGTTTTATGGTTATGCGATTATTCAAGAAATGCATAGCATTCTGCTAGTTTTATGAAAGAAAAAATATTCAAATATGAAATCTTAGTCATAACAAAAGAAAAATCTTTAAACATTGATAATCTTTTTGAATATTACTGAATTTTCTAATTATTATGTTATTATTTAATTCACAATATTTAGTTGAAACTTTAATATTTGAAAGTTCTATTACATTAAAAATTTATTCATAATTTGAAAAAAATTCATTGTATATTTTTTTATGTTTTTTTCTTTTTTTGCATATATCAATTTTGTAAATAAGACATTAAGGTCTTGATTAACAAAAATAAATTATAACAAAAAAATAGGAGAAAACGTTAAAGAAATGGGCATGAGAATTGGCAAGTAAAATTCTGTTTTAAATGATGTTTTTTGTGAATTATGGATTTATATTGCGTAAAATATTCAACAATGTGATAATAAAAATGATTAATAAATATTCAGTATAGACCTTATTTATATTGATTATACAGCTTATATTATTTTGAGAAGTTTTCGAGTAGGTATTGCTTTTAAAGAATTGTAAGATTGATTAATATTCTTACAAATAAATAAAATTATTAAAACAATATTTACTTTTCGGCACAGTATAAAATATTTATGATTATTGATATAAGATTTAATATCCTAATATAATATTTTTAGTGTTAAACTATGTCTGTAAAATCATTGATAGACGAATTTATTACTATAATAGACAAATATAGATAAAAATAAAATTTTAATTATATGCAGCTTTGAATATTAATAATTTTTTAAAATTGTATATCTCGAATCGGTAAGGATTTTATATTCGAGTTCATCATTTTGAAATATCAAGGACTCACCCGAGGGTAAGTGGTTATAGAATTCTTAAGTTTTGATCCTGTTCAATACAAAAAATAGAGTTCTATGCTCGAGGATTCAATATTTTTTAATATTAACAAGACCTCTCAATTATCAATACGATTTTGAAATTAGAATGTTAGAATATTTTGAGTCATACCTAGGCGCCCAATCAATGGATTGGCCTCTAGGTATTCGATCTAGACATTTTTTAACTACGACCAAAAATTTGCTAATGTTCTGAATGAAATAGGTGCAAATTATTAAAAAATAAAAGAAAACCACTATTTTATCAAAAATATTTTTGACTAATCTTTTAAAATCCGGATTATTTTTTTATACAAAAAAAACATACACGTCATAAATGTTATAGGTATGGGTATTGTAAAAATAGTAAAATTGCATGCAAATTCATTCTATTATATGGTTGTTAAGGAAACCTTACGAATAATTAGTTACATGCAATAATCAGATTTGACCAACTAATATTGCAAAGTCAGATCATTCTTTCAATCGATTCATAAAACATAAAACATTATTTTATTATCTCCAAAATTAATAACATTCCACCTTCATAATCACAACACTATTTTAACAATACACATCTATCTACACTTTGCACCTTATCAACACAAAAATTAACAGTTAATTACGTAATCGATTTTAATTTTTTGCTTTAAAAAATATAACACACTAGTATAATATAAGAAAAAATTTGTTTTACACTAATAATCAGTTTGTAATCCGTTTACACGGAGTGACACGGAGCTACTATTACTAGGGACAACACATTTGATGCTAAACGCGATTTGAAAATAAAACCGTCAGAACGCGTGTGTTAGTGGACATATGTGAAATGCCATATGACATATCATGTGTGTAAATACACGTATGGATTCAGGCACGTATTTGCGATTATCAGGCCAGGGAGGTATCAAAATGGAATAAAAATTCTCGAAATTTGTTTAAATTTTCTACTTTTCCTTCATTTTTATTTTGAGAAAACAACCATTAAAGTGGCTATATCATATCTTATACCTCGCAGTGGGCATCAAGCCAGTAAAGTACAAGTTAGCAGTGAATTATTTGGTTAAGGATATGAATAATATAATTCACCCTTTCGCTACGTGAGGGTTTTTCGCAGAAGTGACACTGATGTACAAGCAAGCAAGCCGCCCAAACATATGTACTCAAAATATTTTAATATTATCCAATTATTATCAATAAAAATATATTCAAAAATCAAAAATAACACTTTCAAAACACCACAATAACATATTAGAATTCTTAATCATTTCTCTCAATGACAAATATTGAAGCAAAATAGGCACACTTTATGTCGTCTATAGGCGACACACTACACACAGATCGTCAAACGGATGTCCTAAAGACAACGCTCGTAGCGAAAGGGCTGAGCAAGTATCAGAATAAAATATTTATGTAATAAAAATCCATTTTGAAATTTTAACACGATAGATTGAAAATGTATTTCACGCATCCGACAGGATTTTTAAAGATCTTCAATACCATTTTACAATCCTGATTAAATGCGCCAACTTCTGATGAAAATTGCCAACAGACTTAGGAGCATTTTTTTAAAGGATGGCTTATCAAAGTCGATCTATTTAGAATATTTTAAATTTTGTAGTTCGACAAAATATCTCAATTCTTGAAATCTTGGGATAATTGTATCATAATTTTTTATTGTGGTCCTAGAAATGTTATTTACAAAAATCACCACAATAACCGTAAAATTGGTAAATTTCCACCAAAGCTCTAGGTTGCACTTAAAAGCTCATAATTTACAAAAAGTGTGATTCTAATTTGTTACATAATAGTTATGATCAATACTAATAATCACTCCGTTTAGGCTTGGTGTTGGGTTCTGGGACATCTTATATATATATATATATATATATATATATATATATATATATATATATATATATATATATATAAATCACCATCTATACATGGTGCACAGAAAATGTATGCAATATGAATAAGAGTAGTATACGTTTGTGTACAAAGCAGGTGTGACAAAATGCATGCTACCGTGAATATTCATTAGCTGATTAGAATAAGTGTCGTGCAGGAACATAGAAAGTCGGTAAAACACTAAAATCGATATTTGCATAGAATTTTATACATTTGTTTCAGCATTTGCGCTAAACTATTTATAGCTCGCGACCACAAAAAGGATTTTATTGAATAGACAATAAGAGTTAGCTATAACCATAGATATACAAGTATAACTTGGATTGTTTAAACATATAAATAATATATATATATATATATATATATATGTGTGTGTGTGTGTGTGTAAGATCTGTGTTTGTTTCTATATACCCACATCTATGCTGGTTTAGTGATACACTGAAGGTTACCCACAGAACATACATGTTTTATTATTGACATTGCAAAATAACAATAAATCAACACAGTAGCATTACTTACAGAAACCATTTTAAAGTGATTAATATATATATATATATATATATATATATATATATATATATTAGGGTGGTCCTTAATATGGAAATTTTCGAATTACCTTGCCCCAAGGGCTCATATGGTTTCAAATTGATAAAAAACAATTCTCTGAAAGTTTTAGCTCTTAATATTAACTTTTAGATAGTGTGCAATTCAATCAAATTTCGTATGAAAATAGCATGGAAAAAAATTGGAAAATTTAAAAAAAATGCGATTATTAAAATTATTGAAAAAAAATAATCATAGCAAAATTTATTTTTATATAATTAATTGAATAGCAATCAAAAATTTTAAGGGTATATAAGCTGTTGCAATGATTTGATTTAGCTATGTCGGTATTATAGATGACAACCCAAATGGTTGTCTTAGCTCTATGTGATGCATTTTATTACTACAATTTCGGTAAGAATGATAATTTTTTTATTGATGTAACACTGCCAGGTAAGGGTTATTTTAACTTGGAAAAATCTTAAATGAAAATATCTTCATGTAACAACTTAACATAAAATCAAATAATCAAGTATTAGATTTTGGAGATAGAAAAGGAGAGCGATTTTGAATCATTTAAAATGAAATTTAGCTTAAACAAAAAAAATCATAACAATTCAATAACTTAATATCATAATGTCGAACGAATTTTACTCGAAAATATTGAATATTTGTTTCATATTCCAAACATTGAAAACGTTGTACTATTTTATTTATTTATTTTGCTACGGTAATATATAAATATATAAATTCTTAAAATATAAAATATATGTTGTTGGCCAATTAATGCTTTAAATTTAATTATTTCAAGCTATTTAAGTTAATCATTATATGCAACTGCATTCTTCTGAGAAGGCACAGGCATTTCATCGTTTCTTTATAATAATTTTTTGTTCTCTTTATATTTTTGCAATTTATATTCTCATCATAGGTTTATTGCTCATCATCATCCATATCTTCACATGGTATGAAACTTTTATTAATCTTGGAATGTTAATAATAGAATAAAACAATAAAATAATGAATAAATTCCATCATATGCCAAGCCGACTTCTATCGATGCATTGAAAAGGAGTACATACAGGAAGAATTTTATAATTAGAATATATATATATATATATATATATATATATATAAATTTTCGTATAGTTTGACTTGTTTTACCTTTTTTTAATATCAATTAAATTATATTACAAACAAATATTGGCGTGCTATATTTTTCTGCTGACTTGTTAGTTATACGATACCAATTTTTCAATTATAACCCCCATCGGATCACAACATATTCAGAATAATTAAATCAAGTGATTTATTATTTACTATCATTAGAGTAAGTATTACTAATTGATATTTATATTTCTATTCTTATTTCTGCTAACCTGATATTTCCTCATGCTCTCCAACTGCTCCACAGTAGGCTGCACCGCTCCTGATGTCGGTGCTGCAGCAATAGTAGTCGTGCCTCTCGCCGGAACCTGCGGCGCTGGTGCTCTATTCACCAGCCGTCCATCTTTCTCGATGCGCAGGTGCTCCCGAGGAGGCGGTATTGGCACCTGTACTGCTGAAGGAGCCAAAGGAGCCGATGGAGGCGCTACCACCACTGAACCGTTCATCTATCAAACAAAAATTGTGATAAAGGATTTTGAACCAGATTTGATATTTTTTTTTATGAATACGATGAACATATTGATACAGACAAAACACAAAAGGAATGAAAAATATTTTATGTTTCGAAACACAATTTCAAGCAAAAATAAATATGTCAATTATTTAATAAATACTTCTCTATTGAAACTATATATTTAATTTAATTTTAATTTGAACGAAACACAAACTATTGATCAAAATAATCAATATTTCAAAAAATTATTCGATACAAATAGATTTTGCAAGTGCACTTGAGAATAAACTTGTATAAGATGCAATATTATTTATCACTTTAAAATTCCCATGCCTAATTGCCTAATGTCTATATCATTTAGCACTTGAAAAGTTTTATTAACTCCAAATTTACTATTATTATATATACTATATCATAATATAAAACTAATCATGCAAAATATTTTTAGTAATAATACAGATATGTCATAAGAAAATTAATATTATAATATATATATATATATATATATATATATATATAATGTGTATAATGTATATTTTATGATATTATGTATGTATGAAGATCGTGTAACAATTTTACACGAGTGATGAAAATATTTTAAACTTAACTCAATATATAACCATTTATTTAGAAATATATTGTTTATGAGTTATTTAAAAATATTTCATGAATTTTACATTTGAATTTTACATTTGAATTTAAAGTAGGTATGAGACACATGGAAAAATTAACTACATTACAAGATTTCAGTAAATTCGAGAATGGGTTTAGAAAAATTCTGCTGATAAATTCTGCTATAAAAGTATTTTTATAAGTATTTTATTAATAAGGTATTATAGCCCATTCGCATTTTATTTCAAAGAAGTTTTTCTACAATATTTTATATATATCGAATAAACACATGCATTTCAATATTATTACTAGATACACCTTATAAATACAATAAATACTTATTAATAACATAACTTTCATGTTCATTATTTATTAGTATGTATATGATTTTTATTACTAATTTTATTTAATTCCCAAGTATAAATAACATGCAGTATATAGTACCTACAAAATAAAATATTCGTAACTTTTTAATATTTCTTACCATTATAAATTTCAAATTTAAATCTGGTTACGAAATGTGCTAATAAAACAAAACAATAAAACTTTTAGACCAAATTTAATTACTTCAAACTATAGCATTATCATTGCTTATGTGACGATTGTTTTTTTAATTCCCCTGAATATGATGCAAGACTCACTACTAAATGCACGTTAATACTCTCCAACGTGCCTTATTTAAATACCCAATAATACATTCTTCGGAAGAATAATATGTGCATATCATTCAAAATATACCTGATGCTGAGTTCTCCATTTTGGATCTTTACATCTAAATGCCATAGCAGGCACCTGTAAAGAATCTTTTGTATTTTCTTCGCCGGAAACCTTTTGTTTATTATGAAGTAAATTCGTATCGACCTTAACCGAAGACATGTCATTACTTGCATTGTTGCTAAAATCTATATCGCATTTAGAAATCTCTGATATATATTCTGAATCATTATCTGCTTTGGAATATTTCACATTTCCTGATTTTGAAATCCATAATGATTTCACGCCGTCTTCATCATTTTTACCAATGTCAAGATCTTTTGGTTTCAAGTTGAGAACATCTAATTCAATGCTTTCCTCATCAGCCTTGGATCCTAGAAGGGATTTCATTTCGTCAGTCTTGGATTTCTTCAAGCTTAATTTTCTTGAAGTGATTGATAAAATATTTGTATCCGATATTTTCGCTCCATATGAATAATCTGAAGTATACGGTTTCAGATCACTGCTCTTGTCATCAATCGTATCATTTAACGTATCTAAAGATTTTGATGAAGGATTGGATTTTAATATATTTTCTTTTTCGAAATATTTTCCTTTCTTGGCACTCTTCTTGAATTTTATGTTATTTTTTGCCTTTTCTTTTTCTTTTTTCAAAACAGGATACTTTGGTGGTGTTTTTTTACGTTGGACAAAATCTGCCGGTACGTCTACAGCCATTTCTCGATGACCACTATTGCTTTCAACGAAAAACATATCTGATATGTAAGCCTTATTATCATAACCGCTAATAGTAAGCTTATTTGATGTTTTTATATATGTAGATTTATATGTATTTATAACTCTTTCATCATTCTTTGGTTTCTCATTTTCTATAACATTTACTTCAACGTGCTCGTGTTTTATTGGTATTTTATCATCTTCATTATAATTGTCATCAAGATCCTTAACATCGGTTTCTACAGAAGCATTAACTTCTGAGTAATTAAAACTGTCAACGTTATAACTACTCCCATCAAAACTATCTACCAATAATTCATTCTCATCATCCATATACTTGCAATGATCATAAAGTGAGGAAGCAATATCGCAACCAGCAAATTTGTATCTGCTATTCAAAAGTTCGTAACCTCCACTCGATAGCTGATCATCGAACGGTTCGTACGAGTTAAAGGAAGCGACATTATCATCAGAAACTTCAAAATCGTCAATTACTAATTTATTGATCTTGTTTGATGTATCATTGACCACCGAAGAGATGGTTAGAACAACTCCTTCTGATGATTTACGGATGTTATTATATGATAGCCTAAAATCGTTGTCCGACGGCACTATGTTATCGTGCAAAAGATCATAATTTTCATTATAATCCTCCGTGTCGGTAGTCGATAATTTACCGCTGTCAGGAGATAAATCGACTTCCCTATCGTCAATGCTATGATTTACTGTAACTATAGGATATTGCAAGGTGTAATCATCTGTATTTATTGTTAATCTAGTCTTATTGACATATCGTACATCATCAGCACTATTGATAATAATCAAATTTTCTTTTCCGCGATTATCGTCAGAAATCGTAACAATTGTTTTCTCGTACCTATGGTCGATGAAATAACTGGGGTTATCATAAGCATCATTTTTACGATTGTTCCGCTCAATCGTGTCAATATCGTATGAAACAATAGAATCGTATCTATCGGTCGACTCATTAGTAGACGATAACGATATAGACCTCTCGTTGTCCGATATCGATATCGTCTTCTTATCGTCCGACAAATCTGATTCGTTTAAATCGTCGCTTATACTTTTACCTGTGTTCTGTTGTGATTTTTGATGATCGTGATTCGGTTGGTGACCGTTTTCCACCAAATCGAACCGACCTACCTTGTGGTTTTCTACGACGACCGAACTCGGGGTGCCGTTGCTAGTTTTGTGACCGACATGTTGATCATCATAACTACTATTTCGATTGTTGGATTTTATGTGCGTTTGTTGTCCCACCTTCTGGTGAGCGTGTTTTTGTGATCGGTGATCAGATTTATCGTGTGGTTTTTGGTGATTGTGCGGGGTGGCCGACGGTACCTGATTGGCGACCGTGCCCGAAGATGGCGGCTTTGGAGGAGGATAGCGAGGTGGCGTCTTGTTGCGCGCGACGAACGAGTCAGGCACGTCAACTGCCATCTCACGGTGGGGTCCTAGAAATATATTTATAACGATAAACCATTTTTCATTACAAGATTGAAGACTACTTCAGAAACTTAAATTAAAATGTATTTAGTAGAGAGGCCGTAGGTGGTGTTATTATTGAGCTCCACAGATCTTATTTTCAATACTACAAAGATTATTGATGATCATTATTAATTTAATTATTTTGAATGTTTACAATGACCCAATAATAAAATTTAAACACTAAATACTATATAGTAATTAACTGAGCACAATTAAGGGGGTATTCTACTGTAGAAGCATGAATTTTGCCCGGTTTTTGAAGCGCTGTATAAAGGAAACAAATAATATTTTTACTATCGATTTTTCTATCATTTGTTTATTGATATTTTATTATTACATAAAAAAATTATTAAAAAAAAAATAGAATTCACAAAGTTATGAGCAGTCAAAGTAAGGGCTCAAAAAGAAAGAGGGTGTCCTGGCGTGCATGATTCCAACCCTCCTGGTGATCCGAAACATAAAAAATAGATGGATTCTTAATTATTATAGATGCCGCTATCGTATGAACCTTGGATACGTTAAAAAAAATTTTTTTGTTTGAATGGCGGCAGTTTGAAAAAAAAAATCAGTTTTTTTTCACAATTCCGAATTTTTTAGAAAATACTAAATGAAAAGTTATAGTTTTGGGAAAGGTCCATGCGATAAAGCGATCCTCTCCAAATTTGAAGTAAATCGGTTCATTAGAACTCGAGATATCCTTACCGCCAGCTCGAAAAAAATAGTTCCGAGAAAAACGCGTTCAAAGTTTTGAGACTCGGTCGGACCCGAACCGAGGCCACGTCACTAAAACGGATATAACTCAGGAAATAATAGTAATTTTGAAAAATCCTTTTAATGACATATTTTTGAATAACTAAACTTTGAAAATATGAAAAAAAAATTCGATTTTTTCAAAATTCTACAGTAGAATACCCCCTTAAGACTATTAACACTATTAATTAACTATATTAAGACATAAATGGTTATATTCGCGTCTTATTCCTTTTTCCTGCTGTTTTTTGGATTATTAAAAAAAAAATAAAACTATCGATAATATATTTCATTTATATAATAATCCTTATAAATTCTGAATTGAGCCAATGACGCAAACAAAATATTTACTAATAATTCGTATCTTTTTTCACATTTTTTATTTGCTCAAAAATATTGTTTCTAGAATCATGAATGTAAACAAATGTGACCCAGCTTACCGTTGTCGTGAGCGAGCGACATGACGGCGACCATATCCGTATCCTGGTTAACGCCCTGGTTAAAACATTCGTCTTCCGGCAACCTCGGTTTCTCCGCGTCCAATACCACTATGCTACCGCCAGATCTTCTTCTTGGCCTAAACAGATAGAAAACTTATTATAATTCAATCTTAATAAATATTTACTTAATATTCTATTGATTTATAAATATTATTTGCTTTCTGGGGATTTATAACGTCCACTAAATTAATAAATTTAGTATTACAAGAAACACAAAAAATGCAATTTAAGTAGCAAATAGTCTTAGTTTTAAAGGTATGACAAATATACTCGTCAATACACAAAATTCTACCACTTCTCTATGACGAGTGTCAATCACAATTATCTGTTTTTTGTGACACAAATGACAATTTTAAATTTAATTAACCTTGTATCGATATTAGGTAATAGGAGTGGCTTGGAATAAATGGATGCAATGGATTTAATTTTCATTAGAATTGAATGTGAAAATATAAATAATTTATTACAGCTCATTCAAAATAACAAATTCAAGGACTCTCCTGCACAACTTGAAATCGCAACTAAAGTTTAGTAGTCATTAAATGTAAAACTAATAAATTATTTAAAACAAATAAGACTTATCCTTGCAGTAAAAATTATTCTGAATTAGTTGTACAAGATAACTTGGAATGTGTTGAGAAAGATAGTGGTTCAGAATACCGCAATGCCATTAATTTAGCAGAGCAGAAAATAAGATGTTTGACTACTCTTCGAATCAAAAATGAAGAATGTGTAACGAAACGCGTTTAATGAATGCACGCATTCCCTTATAAATGGATGTTTTGTATCATTCTGTATAAAAATGTTCAATAAATTGTACTATTTTGAATTATGATTATACTTGATTAATATTACCATACTGTTTATAATTTGTACACCATATTATCAAAAGGGCATTTGATCTTGAGGCAGTTACTCCAAAATGTTTAAATAATCGACTTAATCAATATATTAATTTATGAGTGATTTATAAGTATACAGAGTTGCTGTTGAGCAAAATAATGTGAGAAAATGACAAGTTATTCGGAAATTTAGATCAATTTTTCGAAGATGTTAAATTTTTGCAGGTTTAATGATTTCGGAGATGCAGAAAAAAAAGTTAAGAAAGTTGCCATTTGGTGATAAAAATGGTCAGTTATTTTATATTAGGTCTATACGAATAAAATTTACACAATTTATTATAATTATTATACACAATTGATCATTGATCATTAATTAAATTTCATTGATTATGGATTATGTTTATTCCTTAAATGTTTGTTTACAGTACGGGTAATTCTAGCAATTTGGCTGAAGGTAAAATGCCATGCATCACTAGTTAATTTTAAAAATTAAACCACTAATCGTAGGCCTATAATATTGTAGTTCATTAAGACCAGGATCTCTATCACCATACAAGATATCATCAAAATAGCAAAAAAAAATCAGCACGATTTCCAGATCTTTTAGTTTTGAGTTTTAGCACTTTCAGATTCAGGATTTAAAATTCGGAACTCAGGGATCAAAGCAAAATCGTCTTAACGGGGTTCTACTGAATATGTATATTATAGAGAGTAGGTGCGTGTGTGTTCTTCAAGAAATAAACAAATTCAACATAAATATGAAATACCGTAACAACTAGGCAGGTACATGACCGCATTCCACAAACGTCTTATCTTATTTTTGTTATCACCTTTATCATTAGGTATACGACGTTCATGAAAACATAAATGGAGAATTTTAAGTCTTCAAGCTATTAAGCATAGTAATTAGTCTAACTGGATGAATGAAATAAAAACAAATGTGAAAAGAATTTGAAAGTAATTATATGACATTTATTATGATATGTAACTAAGAGTGGATTGCGTTTTAAATACTATCACATAGTAAAAAAAAATATCACGATTGATTAAACGTGTACTGGTAATTTAAAAAATTTAAAAAAAAATATCATTGTGGTATTTACAAAATTTTAATATATCATTTTGCACCTAAAAATTTTAACTGTTTTTGTTAACTTTCATTTAATTGTGATATTACAAAACAAACAAATGAGCACATACATATAACTCTTATAAGAGAGTAAAGCTTGTACTAATAATATTAACTTTTGTTTAATTTTTTTTAAATATTTGTTAGATCTTCTAAAAATGTTGGCTCCATTATATATTTAATATATAGTATATATATATTTAATATATAGTATATCTTATATATAAAATTCTTCTGTAACAATGTAAGTTTCATATTTCCTCCTAAACTATAATTCAGATTTTCATGAATCTTCCTGAAGTTTGTTCGGGAAATTTTTTAGAATGTTTTGATTCATAGAAATATAGTTAAATTGTAGAAATAAATAGAAAAAATTACAAAAAACCGCTTATCATTGTTTGCCCTTGAAAATATTTGAAGCTTAGTTTGACATTAAAAACAATTGAGGACTGTCATTTGCCAAACATTTCTATTCACTTATAGGCTAAGGCAATATTAGAATATAATAAATTCATAATTATGAATAAGGAAAATGTAATGTCTACATTGTTAATGCCGAAAAGCAGCTGAGATGTGCCAAAAATTAAATTAATATAAGATGCAAATAATATAACATGCATTTGACAAGTGATGCAGTCTGCGCATGCGTCTGACGTGCGCGTGGTTTGCTTTTGCTTGCAATAATTTTGTTTGCGCACTTTGCGAACAGATTCGCCGTACGAATTCGCGCAAAGGAGCGAGCCATAAGTGATTGCGCTCAAACATATTCAATTTGCAGTCGTTTTGCCTTACTATACTAAGTCACAAACACAAAAAAAATATTTAGAAGTTTCATTGTGTCAAAAATTCATATGTTTGTCATTGGGTACGGAATATTTACTCAATGGAGCGCTTTGGGTCTGAAATTTTTACTATTTTCCAATTCGTTTGGAATTTTGGAACTAGGTTCATCTTACTCTTCAGAAGTGAAAACAATTTAGACTCCTTTACCACTTCTCGGGTGGATGACATTTCTTTTCAGTGGTGTAATTTTACTTTTTTCAAAATAACGTTGGGTATCGATAAAAGAACTAATTATACGAGAAAAATATTTAATAATGTTTTTCAAAAAAGGAAATACTTTTCAAGTTACTGGCTACTGAATATTTGTTTCTTTTTTGCGTTTTTCATCATTTGTTGCTAACACCTTCAAAAATATACATTTTAACGAAAATCATGTAATGAACAGAATTATATCAATTAAAATCTTAATAAATCGTTATTTTACAGTGTTTTATGAACATTATTAGGCTAGATATGAAAATGGGTTTTTATAGTGCTCAAAATAAGCTTTAAAATGAATACTTCTGCGTGTAAAATGAGTGAGCTATCATGCAGATAAAGGACGAATGCAATGTTTTTTTTTTTTCATTTAAATCAAATACTTTGAGTGCCATATCCACCAAAATTAAAAATAATCGTATTCAATCTAGAATTAACTTGGTTTAAGAGATCTTGATGGATTCTAGAAAATACCACAACTTTAGTACAAATGATTCTTAAAAAACTCATGATTTCATGAAAAAAAAACATTTTAAAAAAAACAACCAATTTCTCATCATAATACCTCTGAAAGAATACGTATAAAAGTATATATATAAGAAAATTCGAGGTATTTTTCTGACTAATTATTATTGTTTATTATTTTTTCGTTACACAAATATTGATAGATGTATGATTAATTAAGGAGCTGTCCAACCAGAGGTCTTTCGAGCCCTTTAACCCTTCGCCGTTTCACAATAAGAGAAGTTACGGTAAAATTAATGATAGAGAAAGTTGTAGCTCATTTAATCACCTTTAAAATAGTGTATTACAAGTTCTGATAAAATCAGAATTAAAAGAGTAATAATCCAATTAATGCTGTGGATGGTGACGGAGTGCAAATTGTTAAAACATTGAAATTAAGATAAAGATTAGCCTATTTCCAAAATATCAAGTAAATTGGAGCACAGTAAAAAAAATTTACAGAGCAATAATTTTGTTGATCGTAAGTTGAATAGAGCACATGTGAACAGGATTTGACAAATTAATTCACTTCAAATATAAACTTAAGCAATAATGTATATTGATTTATTTGAGAAAAAAATGCAATTTAGATATTAAAATTACTTAAAGCCAGTTAAAATATGGTACAAAATTATAAAAATTATAGGCAACATTATTGAAGCAGTTATTTTAGGTGAGAAAAATAAAAGGTGATATTGCACCTTTGCCGCGAATGCTATATATTAATTCTTTCTGAATTTGTTGTACTTTTTAAAAGATTTCAATTTTCAACACGAGTATCTTATGCTATGACCATAAATCAAAAAGGCAGACAATCATTTTTAGTGTGATAAATTTGGAAAATCAATGTTTTAGTCGTGAATAAACAAAAAATCATTCATTTATACATCCACATCTACAGGTACGGCTAAAAATACTATATAACCCTTAAATGCAATAAAATAAATTGAGCTATTGGAAATAAATTTGTTCTATAAATCGCAGTGTATAATTTTTAATATACAATTTTATTGAACATTTTTTAATATTTGTTAAATAAATAATTAAAGTGTTAACTGTGGGAATTGAGAACAATCATTTTATTTGAAACAGTTCTACATTCAACATCACTTATATATTGGTGTAAATAGTAATTCAAAAAACAGTAATTATTATTTTTAACTAAGCAGTAAATATTAGTATAAAATATTGAAAAATTGTAGACGTAGGTACAGAACAACGTCTGTCGGGTCAGCTAGTATATATATATATATATATATATATGCGTATATATATGATGAGAAAACATTATTGACTCGCTCCAATAATTGCAAGAAATTTTCAAATTTATTTGAGTGAAATCAGAAATTTATAATTGCATTTATATTGCCTCGCTTTAGAGTCATCATATATTACATATTTTACTTTGTTTCCTCAAAAAATTAAATATCGAATTGAAATTGAATTTAAATTTAAATTAGAATTATAATCAAATTGATAAATACGATTTAAAATTCACCATGGAAAAATATAAGATATGCATAATGCGATATGAAACATTTGTATTTCTACTTTGTTTTCT